TAGCTGGACTCTAAATCGTACTGCTTGAAGTTGCCGACGACGTCGTACTTTCCCGTCTGTCCCCTTCTTGCGCTGCCTCCTAGGCCGCGGATAGTGCGCCCGTCAATGTCACTCCCAAACACCACTGCTCCGAAGTGGGCGCATGCTATCGGGAAGCCGCCCGTGCCCATGAAAGGGTCGTAAAACAACTTCCCCGGTGCCACGTGTGCGATGTTAGCCGTCAGCAGTGTGAGCTCGGCGTCCATCGATGTAGTGCTGATGTAATGTCTCTTCTTGAGGTCAAACGTTTTCTTAGCTTCATTGCGACATGAATCGGCGATGAAGCGACCAAAGTAAATGTACTTCGGCTTCTTAACATTAAGATCGTAGTCTTCAAAGACACGGAACGCGACATCTGGGTTTCGCATCCGCGGTGGCCCCTTGAAGGCCATGTAGGAGAAGCTGTCGATGATGTCGCGCTGCTCATCGTTTGATCTACTTCCGCGATAGCCTTCTATGGTAAAGCGGAAAGATGCGTTAATGTACTGGGGCCACCAGGATGTGGTCAGACTGCGGATGGAGTCGTGAAGTGCGTCGTATGTTGATCCCTGGCCCCATAGCTCGTAGATGCCCTGTGCGAGGATGCTCCGTGCGATGGCTTTTCGTGCCGCAGCCTCTGACGGCAGATCGACAATGCAGTAGGGTGACTTTGATCGTCAGAATGTATGCTTTTGTAAGGCGTGACGCGACACCGGGATTGCTTTTTCGGGATCTGAACCAAAACAACACTGCGAGAGACGCGACCGATGAAGTTGAGACAGTAAGACTGCTGGGTGAAAGAAAAACTACTTACATCTTCTTCGTACTTGACGAAGTGTAAAGGCACTTCAGCAATATCGGCTAGCGCCTGCAGTTCGACTTTCCGGAAACTCTCATGCGCTTGCGCAAGCCTGACGAGATACTGAGGCATGTTGTTGTTTGATTAGAGAGATTCCAGGCTAGCAGAACCCTTCCGTGTAATACGCGTCTCAGTCAGGTATCGGCATGGCAGGCGACGATCACCGCGTCGACGCTTTTATCAGTGGTAGTCCCTTTGCGTCGGAGTCACGGACCAGCAAAATGGGGCACGAAAAATGGTGGGTCAGGGTCCTCATTCTTCATTGGCTGCCGACGACGTCGCTTAAAGTTTAAACTACATCTTTCTCCCAACCTCGCCTCGCATGCATCCATCCCGATTCCGATCTTCAAGTCGACTACAAGATGCAGGGCAAGACTAGTCTACCACACTGTCTCTACGCTTCCGCTCGATGAATTCCACGTCCGCTTGCGCTTCTGTCATGTTGCACACCAGGTTCTCCACTAGCTCTTCTTTTGTCGTGAAGCCTTCGATCCACCAATCCCGGAACTTCATCAACTCACCCACCCATGCGTCCCAGAGATAATACCCGCCTTCGTTGTCCCGTAGTATGAATTCGTCGCCTTTGGTTTCCTTGACCACTGGACAAAGACCTTCAATGTTGTAGTCTTTTGCAACATTCGCCTCCCGCTTCGGGTCGAAACACGCAGACAAGTACAGTTTCTTTGGATCGTTTGTCCATGATAACCGGAGGGTTGTGTCGTATTCGTCGTTGAGTTGGACGTATGGTATGCCTTCTTCGTCTTGTGTCTTTCCCTCGTTTGTTGTGTTGGGAACAAGCCGTAGCTTTTCTAAAATGGTTGCGAACATTTGCATGTCGGTGTCGCAGCGATGTTATGGTGGCACAGTGAGACCGGAGTCACTGTTAAGGAAGTGCTTTGGTTGCGCAATCTTGAAAGTGGACTTGTGGTATGTGTAGAAGACCCTGACTGTTCATGACTTGCGGATTTAATAGGGATGCATGTGTTGAACTGACGTAGACTAGACATCCACGGTGTAGACATGCCTATTTACTTTTTTCTTGTACCAGATATCGCGATACTTACGTGTCAGCGCAAAGACGGGTGATCACGGCGCTATGTGTGATGACTGCACGATAGTCACAATACGATTGTTTTACCCAATCGTAGCGCTCCCACAATACTATTTCGGATATGTTTACCAAAGTACAATACACTTGTCAGTAGATGCGATCTCGGGTACGTAGCCGTGTACCGAAACCACACTGTCAGGTGCCGCGGGGCCGGTCGGGTGAAGAGAAGGATCGTCATCACGGTCATGTTCCAAATGGATCGGGTTAACTTCCAGGTATGTTACAACGCATGCAAAGAACTCCACTGTTTCTGCTCCATATGTCATGGCTTAGTGACCGCAACTTGGCCTATAGAGCTTGCTAACACCACTTATATGTTGAGGAGAGATTGCTGGCCGTTGTCATCCTCGTCAATCACAGTTCGAGGGTCTATGTCGTTGGAATGTGAGCCCAAGATAGCCACTCCGCAACCGAAGCGCATTTCCACGGCGAGATCACTGGGGTGGGATGGCCAAAAGCGAAGACCGCGCACATTGAGTCGAGTCGAGACTTTGGTTCCTGACCCGCTGAAGTGAGGTACTGCATCCCCCCTTGGCCTGACACGAGGCTAAATCTCGAGGACTTTGGTACGTGTGGTAGACCACTGCGGGGTTCACTGCTACTTTTTCGGAGACTTGATGTCAGAGTCGTTCGAGACTTGATACGTGTCAGTTGATGAGTAGCAAAACATTGTAGTACGACGCACTATCCCGTGTTCTAGGCGATCATGATCAATGTAGTTCCCACATGATGGGGAAGGTTTGATGTCACAAGAGCCAAAGCCAGCCTGACAAGGCGTCTTACCTAAAATTGATAAGCAGTGGCTTCAAGCATCGCGCCGAGTGTGTGTCTTGTAGTACTTACCATACTGAGGCTCGGGATCTTTACAATGTACATCTTCTGTGCCACACCAGCTGTAGAAAGAGCAACAGAATTTCAAGCCACATGAAGTCTGTCCATCGGCTGAATCAATGCCACACATTGCTTTCGCATCGCAGTTGGAGATACACTTCTCGCCACAATTGTTCGATTTGAAACCACATTTACCTATAATTTGAGCGACGGGATTAGTTGTGACTCGAGCAAGAATGAGAAATGGATTCTAAATACTATCAGAGTTGCCTAGAAAGGACGTTCATGTTAGCACAGTTCTTGGACATATGACAATGGGCATACGTAAAGCAGGAGCTGTTAAGACAAAGGTTTCCTGGTCCGCACTGAACAGGGCCTTCGACTGCCTGTCTCTTTGCGAGTGCGCCACGTTGGTGCATTTGATGATGAGATGAGCGACGCCATGTCGAAGCTGGGTCTGTCTCGTTGAGTAATCTTGTCCCATTGACCGAGCCTGTAGAGGTTCTTCGAGTGCCAATGGTTCGACATCGTGAGCACTGGCAGCAAGCGAACAGAGCCTCGACGTCGCATCTCCGCCCTGTAGTCCTTGGGCTCTCAGCGCAATTGCTTGGGGCTGGCAGTCAAATTCTGCGTCGACTTCAATGGAGCCTCCTATGCATTGCTTCGGCAATGCTGCCCATCGCATCGCAGCATAGGCGCCTGCAAACTCGCTGAGACGACTCGATGGACCAGTTTCATCCCGCTATTTGGCTGCTTTAGTGCTACGACTGATTGTAGCGGCAGGGACCACATGGCCGTGCAAGCTGCCGCTTAAATGTCATTCCAGCGAATCACGGCCTGTCGCTCAGCACACCGTTAGCGCCACGATTCAGGGCATCGACTTAGGCAGGAAAGGGAACGGTCGCTGTTGTCGCTAACTCTGCTTGGTCTTGGTGAGCTGCTACGGCCTGTTTTTCCTTTCCCAAAACAAATCTAGGGTTTCTCCATTATCGCCTTCAACGAAAAGAACCACGTGAATACTATATTCTTCCTGGTCGATTTGGTTGATCATAGCCCTATCGAAAAAGACTCGACTTCCTTCTGGGATGTTGCCGCTTCGAAGGAAATGACTGAACTCGTGGTCTTCTCCAGATCCATCTGCCCAGTCCCTGTCATCATCATCAGGGACGACTTCCACCGCTTTGACACCGTCGCCCAAGTCCACCGGGTTCATGTACAGTTCGTCTTCGCATTGCATAATCTCTTCCTTATTGACATTGAGGTATGAGTGGACTTGCGAGACGAAATCATGTAAAGATATAGAAGAGCCATCCTCCTTGTCGATGATCAGCGGCTCTGGGGCAGCGTATCGGTCTTCCTCCTCTTGCTCGTCCATGTTGCGTTTCTCCTCGCAGACGTCGATGTAGACCGAGATTTTGGTGAACGGGGGACTTGCCAAGGACTCTGAGGCGATGCTGGCGCCCATGAAGGGCGTGAGAGCATTTCCAGGATCTTTGACTTGGATGTCGTTCAACGAGCCGAAAACGTCCCAACGGAGTCGTTCCAACAGGTCATCTCGGAGTCGGTCAAGGTAACCCACCACCGGCGGATCAGGCGTATCCTCGCGGTCTACCTCGTTAGGCAGGCTAGGCTTCATTAAGAAGAGAAATAAAAAAGTAGGTGGGGCGGAAAATTGCAGTTGGGGGTCAAGAGACTGAATGGTTCTCGGTGCGAGCGTGGGTGGTGGTCCGAGCGCTAACTGTGCTACCGGGTAACTTACCGGCCCGCACCCACTTTTTCCTACACCTATGTTGTGTTCTAGGCGATTACGATTAACGTAGCTGTGTGCCGGTGTGATGGGTGTAGTTCAGGAAGCAAGTTAGTGATGCAATTGGTGGTTCAGTCTAGACGATACTGATAGACGAACGACGAAAAGCATGGGCGATTAGTTGCGCCTACCCATCAGCATGGACAAAGACAACGTTGGACACGAAACAAGGCTTCTGAAAGGAGAATTGGATATGGAACTCTATCATAGTTGACAAAATGAGAATGCAGACGCCAGAACGCTCATCGCTGATGCAGAGCAATGCAGTCGTCACATGAAGATAACCCCCTCACCAGTCTGACAGGTATTCCCCCTTCTCTCACACGCCGGCCTAAACTTTGTAGTATGTCGCGTGCGCTTGTACGGCACTATCCTCACGTCCACAGCCACTTGCGGCAATTCTTCGCGCCACAAAGACAAGGAAGCGCCCCCTCACCCGGCTCATCCATCTCCTCCCCCTCTTCCTTATCGAGGTAGTCGAACGTCAATTCCTCGCCCTTTGGAATGAACCTTCGTGCAAAGAACGCGATGTTATAAACTCTCGGATCGTGCTTGTTGTACGAGACAGTGTACTGCCGGCAGTTAGGGTCACATGAGTGGTTGATGAACTTTGTCGGTCCGCCCATGAACTCGCCGTCCACAACGTAGAGGTCTTCTTCTTTGAGGCCTTCCGACTCAGCGAACTTGTCAAGCGAGTAAAGATAGGATGCCTTTGCTTTTGAAGACGAGGTTTCGCGGCGGGTAGCTTCGGCATCTGTTATGACTTCACCGCGGTAAGTGTCGATGAACTGGCCCTCGTGCAGATCTTCTTTGCACCGGAGACCCCAGCCACGTCCGTCGTTCGCTCGGAAGATCTCAACTTCGACTTGTCGCCCAAACTGAACGTTCTTATTACGACACTTGGGGCCGCATTTGCACCTATCGTTGCACTCGTAGATGGGACGACGGGAGTTAAGATAGAAAGGTACGAGACAGCCGGTCTTCTCTCGTTTCGTGCCTTCAGCGAAGTAAGGGAATTTCTTGGGAAAGCCCATTGTTGAATCTCCGTTTTCGAGCGCAAGTTGGTATTCTCGCTTGCTTTCTTCATCCAGACGACTCTCATCCACTGCTGCGTACTCTAGACAGTCACATTTCCTTGTGTATTCGCATCCGATGTCACGACCCATTTGGGGTGAACATTTTTGGCAGCCTTGTTGTGTTTCGACTGATGCGCGGTAGACGCCTTGTTGCTCGTCTAGGACGTATTCGGAGATGTACCGGAAGCGCAGTGAGGGTGTGGTTTTGTCTACCACGTTGAACAGGTGAATAGGTTTGCCTGGTACTTTCGCTAGCCTCCGAACATACTCATTGCGGATGTACATAAGTGCTTTGTCGACACTAGAACGGTGTGCAATGCGGTTCATCTCTGGTGTGGGCACGGTACGAATGTCAAGTTCCGGTATGTCGTGACCTGAGGCCTGCAATATGTCAGTGAAGCCCACAAGGGAACGTTTGTTACGAAGACGTACTTGTCTACAGAAGACATGACCATATTGATCAGCATCCAAAACTCCGTTGTATATGTCACTAGCTGGAGACGTGACTGTTGCTGCAGATGACACGGATGAAGATCGAGAGGCTGACGGCGTACGACTCTCTTGTAGTCGTCGATCGAATGGTGAAGAGCGGCGTTCGTACGATGAAACCCCATCAGGACTCTTTCTTTTCCTCGAAGGTTTGATGTCTGAAGGTAGCGGTAGGTTCCTAGATAGGTTAGTAACATACCAAAAGCTAGTACTGAGATGCCGCTTACTTCTCTCTCACTTCGAGGTAGTCCTGGATCTGCTCTAGACATCGCACTAAGTCCTTAACTGAGTGCCAGCTGAGCGGAGGTTTCGAAGTCGACGTGTCCGACGTCCAGCGCACCAGATATTGCTCGTCCTAGACCCTGATATCAGCATCGCGCACGGACCACTCGGGGTGAAGGAGTACTAACACCGTTCTGAACGCGATTTGACACAATTGAATGCACCTAAAGATAGTTTTAGTATTAAAACGCGTGCGACCGAAGTTTAGAGAGTACTTACGCGGTCTACTAGGACACGGCGCCTCTCGTGTCCGTTAGCCGGGATTACGACCATAGATGGCATCCCTTGCGCTGCAACTGCATCGCGTTAGCCTTCTTTCTCGGCTTAGCCGGCATGCTCGAGATCTTTTGTAATGAAATCGAGCTGTATGTAAAGTATGCGTCGCGTTACGAGGTATCTAGGTAGGCTGCGAGCGTAGGACAAACATACCTAGAAGACAGCGGAGTCCAAACTAGCTAAAGAATTTAGACCCTAGCAATATTGCTATGTAGAAGAGCTTACTAACGTAGATAGTTCACGTTAGATGTTTTTCTGTTACGCTGTTAGGAAAGTGAAGTTAGGCACCTAGCTGCTAGAGCTAGTTCGTGACTGTAACTAAGAGCAGACAACGCTTAGTAAGCATGCGCACAGACTATACAGCTAACACGTCTTACTTAATCTGTACTAGCTTATTTAAGAGCTCTTAATCTAGCTAACTAGCGTTCTATTACCTAGGTACTACTTTTTATAGATCTACTATTCTTTCTAACTATTCTAAGAGCCTTGCAAAAGCTTCGTGCAGAGACAATGCTTGGATGTTGCCTTACGTGCAACGCGTCGAAGTCAGCCTAAGGTTGTAGCAGTAGATTTAGTCGTAACGCGCTTCAGAACGCAAATCTCAAAATTAGCACAGAGAGCCTCTTCGAGCGTAATTCTAGCAACAGGGACGCGCAAGACAATAAGTTGTCGTGCCTGAAATGCGCGTGTTCGCCCAGTCCTCCAACATGCGCTAATTTGCATGTGGCGGCCATGGTGCCCGCCTTATCGCTATCTTAGCGGCATCCATGAGCCCTCCAAAAAAAAGTTCGGCCCGCATGTCAGGCCTCAGAGCAAAGACATCGTTGCGACGTATCACGACACATCACAGCACATCATGGCATCAGACGCGCAAAACAACCCTTTCATAAGGAACCTTGCTTCCAGCGGTACGAAATCACTACGTTGAGGAGACACTCAGATGGAACGCTGACTTTTGCGACAGACAAGAAAGTTCGCGACAATGCACTCGATTCACTCAAGACATACCTCGGCGCGCAATCAGAGATATCAGAACTAGACCTGTTGAAGCTATGGAAGGGCTTATTCTACTGTACGCGCTTCTTGTGCTTCGGCTTAGAACACCTCCCCAAGGCACTTCGCAAACCATCCTGCAAAGGCTAACAAGAACTTTTAGGCCTATGGATGCAAGACAAACCCGCTCTTCAGCAAGGCCTATCGCGCGACCTCGCCTCGCTAGTCTCAGTTCTTCGAACCCCCGTCGTACTCCCCTTCATCCGCGCCTTCTTCCTCACCATGTCTCGCGAATGGACCCGCATCGAAGCCCTCCGACTAGACAAGTACCTCTACCTCATCCGCCAATACGTAAACGCGTCCTTCACCTTCCTCAGCCGACATAAGTGGAAGAAGAGCCTGGTGGAACAATGGAACGCGGTTGTGGAGGAGACCCCGCTGGAGTGCGAGAACATGAGGATCCCCAATGGACTGAGATACCATGTCATGGATGTTTGGGTCGATGAGATGGAGAAGGTTGAGGGAGAGGCGTGGGAGAAGGAGGATGAGAAGGAGACGGTGGAGACATTAGTGTTGCCTATCGAGAGGATGGCCAAGGAGGGCAAGTTGAAGACGCTGAGGAATGCCGCGAAAGAGGTTTTGGCTGATGATAGGTTAAGAGCTTGGAGGGGGCAGGAAGTGGAGATGACAGAGGAGGCTAAGGATGACGAAGATTCCGAGGCGGAGTGGGGAGGCTTCGCAGACTAAGCACTATACCATCTGAAGGTCTGAGAGACACATTGCATATGATTTCAGCGAGGCGTTTAAGGAAGATTTGTCCTGCACATAGGGCATGGAAAAGTATTATAATTCGGAAAGCAATCTACAAGACACCGAACTTCAAAAGAGCATTGCAAGGAATTTGATCCAGTTCCGTGGATTATCCCAGCTTCCCCATCGTCTCAGTCTTCCCGGGTATTAATAGCACCGTCTAGATCAAATCAGCGTACACCTTCGCCCATTCCGCACACAATACTTACATCCGTCACTCCTCCTCGCACCACCGTCACCCGTCTTCTCCTCCGTATACCGACCGAGCAAATCCGGCCTCACAAAAAGCACGTACAACCTCCACAAAAGCGGCGGCACCAAACACGCCACACTGACCGCAGCGACCTTCTTACTGAGTGCCGCACCCGGCCCCCCTCCCTCCAACAAATCCAACACGATCATTGGGATCAAAGCCGCCTCTCCGAGCCCCAAGAGCATATACGTAGGTCGTCGGCTCTCGATCCCATTGCGCGTATTGGTTGCGCCGGCGAGTAAAGCGGATGTTAAGCCGCCTACGATCAGGCCTCCGCACAGACGAGCAAACAGGACCGAAGTAGGATTGATATCGCGGGAGGGGTTGTTGAGGAGCAGGGAGAGCGTCCAGCGCGTGTTTGTTATCAGCGGGATGGTGAAGAGATTGGCGAAGGCTTCGAGGAGAAAGGCTTTGCGGATCGTGGAGCCGTTCTGAGATGGGTCGGGTGTGATGGTTGGGTTTGCGGCTGGTGATTTTGTTGTCGGCATTTTGATGGTTCAGAAAGTTGTTTGCATAGGGCGCATGGGAGGTATTGGGCGTAGATATGGATTAGGTATTTGTTTACATGTATCCGGACATGTCGATGTCGTAGTCCAGGTTCCAGTCTACTTGACTTGGCGTGACTAGTGCGGACGTCATGATTTCGTTACCCAAAAAGAAAGACCAAGGGAGCGCAATCGCCATTGTGATCATGCGGTCATGACAAAAGCCTAGCTGATCTTGGATCAGGTGGATGCATCGACCTCTCCTGACTCGCTCCGTATGTATACGCATGCAGGGCGCGTTGCATCCTGGTTAGTCGCGTCTCTAGTCAGGAACGCGTCCATGATCTTTCGAGGCCGAAACCTGACATGCAGTGATGCATTATGTGTGTCTATGCACCTGCGCTCTATTCATCTCGTTGGCTTAGTGAGTTTGCGGCTTGTGACATGTGGTCTCCTGCTGAAGATGCGCGAGCTGGACGCTGTCAGCACTCAACCATCGACGCATCGTTCAGATGCGTGAAAATGATTGCCAATGATCAATTTCAGGCATCTAGTCATAGCGCTGGCGCAGTAGTGATATTTATGAAGCTCAAATGAAAGATGGGTTATGATGTCAGACGAGGGCTAACGGACCGACCAACCATAGCAGACCTCAGCTTTCTTGGACCGCCGGCTACTGACCGCCAAATACTTCCGGCAGTAATCTTTCGTCACCCACCACACAATTGAACGCAACTCTTGGGCCCATCATGGGTCGTCGACCCAACCAGTTGATTCTCGAGTACTTCGAGCGCGGACCGAAGCTGGAAGATGCAAGCAACCGCTACCAGCACACGTGCAAGTCGTGCGGCGAAAAGGTGAGTGACCCCGCTCCGCAAAAAAGTTGACGGTGTAGAGTGAGCAATAATAGCTTACACATCGCAGTTTCCCAAAGGCCGCATAGACAGTCTCACGAATCATCTCGTCAAGAAATGTCCCGCTTTACCGCTTCAAGACCGCCAGCGCGCGCTGCTGCAGATGCACGAGCTGCCACTCCCCGACAATATGACGCAGACGGCCACCACCAACGCACCCGGACCGAGCCAGATGCAGCATGGCCAGAAGATGAACCTTCCTTTTGCGCCGTCGAAGCAGCTGTCTGCGCTTGAGACGCTGGCGGAGGTGTCGCGACAACATCTGGACCTCTCTGGGAAGCGCATGGCAGAGAAGCAGCCGTCGCAAGCGCACAACCATGGCAACCACAACCATAACAACAATGCGAGCCATGCAGGGCTTTTGGAAGAGTTCCTGATACAGGATGATCGGCCCGATGGCTCTGATATGGGCGGCCTCTCACACGGGATGGACATGTCGCATCCGCCAGCAATGCCCTCCATGTACCAGTTCAATGGATCATTACATCACTCTCCAACTGCATCACCACACATGGGTCATATGCCTCTGTCAAGCTCTGGATCGATGTCGCACATGGTTCCGTCTCTCGTCATGGCAGCATCAGCAGCGAATGACCTCATGCCGCTGTCAAACGGTATGCCTATGGAGTCGGACATGAATCTCTCAGCACATGGTATGCAGGGTATGTCAGACGGCAAGTTCTTCCATCCCCAAGGACGAGGACATTGGCCGAACATACAGCCCAACTCACTGGACCCGATGCTACAAGACCATGGCAAGGAGCAGATGCACGCGAACGACCAGTTAAATAAGGGAATGAGCCATCAACGACCACTTGCAATGAGCCCAGGCAACCAGACCCACTTCACCACCGACTTCAGCATGAACCAGAAGCCGGCCAAGCCCAAGGTCAGGGGACGTTTCACAGACTCCAGACGGAAAGAAGTACAGGAGGTGCGCAAGCGAGGTGCGTGCATTCGGTGTCGCATGCTCAAAAAGCCATGTTCGGGCGACAACCCATGCAACACCTGCCAAAACGTCGAGAGTGCGCGATTATGGAAGCAGCCATGTATCAGGACAAGGATTGCAGAAGAGTTCGGTCTTTACTCTGCAGGTCTTCATAGCGTGTTAGCATTCCATGCAACGAATCAAGCCAAGGGCCAGATACGGCTCGATCAGACTCCAGGGCGCATAGAAGCAACCCACTTCCCTCATTCCGGTATCTTTGCTACTTTCACGCCGTTGAAGTGTCAGCAGACGCAGACAGCGCAAAACGCGGACATCGATCCTGCGATCTTCGCTGGACTAGCTACTCCGGATCTCGAACTCATAGACAGTGATGACGATGTCAGTGGGAAGCTAGACCACTATATCAAAAAGATGGGTGGCCACTTTGCCGATACCGAAGACTCGAACTTCATGAGGATGACTGTACAGACCGCCAAGAGCGTTGCATCGTCAAGCGCAGATGGACTAATATCAAAGGCCCTAGAACTCTGGAATCTCACGCGCGTGCTCACGTCCCGGAACTTTGAATGGTTTCTCTTTTCAAATCCCTCGCTCGCGCCTACCATCACGCCATCTACATTGGCACCAGGAGATATGGAGGACGCCACTCGCACGCCCATCACGCCCCTCGAGCACGAATCTTCCTACAGCCTTATCACTACACAGCTCATGGGCGCGACAGAGAAGCGAGCCGCGTGTCTAGCACGCATCGTAATGAATGACCTGGAACGACGCCTCCTCCAGCGTCAACAAGCCAATCCCTTCGAAACCTTCCTCGTCGCCGTCATCCTCCTCGCCTGTGTAGAGCGCATGTGCTGGCTGTTCCGCTCCTGGGAAATGCCATCCACCAACCTACCCGCCCCAGAAGCCGACGACGCATTCAAGCACCCACCCAGTGCTGACAACGATCTAGCCACAGCTCTACAATCTACTTCATCACCGCCAGCCTCTCACCTAGACCTCCCTCCCCACCAAGCGCCCCGTAATCCTAGATGGCCGCTCGACAAGTCCCCCTCGCTGCTCTCTCAGCAAGGCGAGAAGTTCAGCGATATCCTCAACATGCTTCTTAAGATGCGCGGCGTCCCTCCTAAACCCACGCCCCACAGTCCGGATGGCGTACTCACTGTTTGGAGCGAAGACACGACTGATAAAGTAAGGGAGTGGTATGATGGCATTGCTGTGACATTGCAGATGCTAGATCAGAAGGCGAATTCGCGCTTTGTAGGCGAGGATCCCAAGGAATGGGAGTTGAAATTTGTTGGCAAGATTATTAGGGGGGACTAAATGATTGTGTATGTGGGGGTTTCAGCCTCCCTTGTTGTGGGTTCATGTACTGGAAGAGATGAATTGTGTTGTCATGATGGATTGGAGGAAAGCTTTGTTGTGGGTGGATGCATGTGTGTGGGAGGACGACTGATTACGAATTGATACCAAACACGTTATGAGACATGTAGTTTGACATGGCGTCGTGAGTCGCGTTCGCGCGCTTTGAACGAAGAGACGTTGCTACCACGTAAATCCTGACAGAAATGTGGTGATCATGTCTGCTACGACAGATGGACTGTACCATCGTGTCTGCACTTCAGATTTAGGGGTATGCAACTGCTCCTATACTACGCCTCAACACCAAATCAGCGCATCACGCACGCTCTGTCTAGTCTAAAAACCCAAAAGATGTCCGTATATACAACCCCATCCCACTCAGCTCTTGAGCGCCTCCAGCCGTCCCCGCATCTGCGCCAACATCTCCGCCTGATCCTCTTCCTCCTCCTCTTCCGCCTGCGGCGCAGCCGGCAACTCCTCCTCCTTGGCCTTACTCGGCGGCAACCGATCCTTGAGCACCTCACTCAACACCTTATCCACCTCCTCCTCAGCCTCATCCGCCTCACCCTCCAGCATCTCATTCTCGCCCAGCGTATCGTCCAGCATCTCCTCAATAATCCCCGCCTTCATAAGCTCAGAGCTAAGTTCGCGCATCGTGCCCGTCAGCTCGGGTAACCTGACGAGGCTATTCACGTCCTTCATGATGCCCGTGCTCGCCTTGATACTCCCTTCTATTTTCCGTACCGAAAACGCTTCGTTGACTTGCATCTGCACGCTGTTGAGCTGCGCTTTGGACGTCATGAGGCGGTTGTTTTGCTTGCGGACGCGGATTAGCTCGCGGGCGAAGATGCGGACGTCTTGGTTGGCTTGCTTGGCCATGGATGGGTTGCGGGCGGCGCGTTTGGAGGATTGCTGGATGAGGGTTTTGGTTTTTTGTTCGGTCGCTTTGAGCTGTTGGATGTCGCGGTCGAGTTTGCGGACGTTTTGGCGGACGAGGGCGTTGCATTTGCGCTTCTGGGGGAGGGTTAGAGGTGGGTGGGGAGTGGAGGGGATGGGGAAGGGTAAGTACTTGTTCCTCGGGTGTGGGCTTCCACAGGAGACCTCTGATGGTCTCCATGGTGGGCGCTCAATGTGGTGTGCTCTGCGATTGAACTGCCTGATGCCTTATCGAGGTGATGTATGCGCAAGTGGATGCGGATAACGCGGGTGTCGGTGAAGGTGTTCAGACAGCGCGTCTCGTCAACTTCGCTAATGTGGTTGCGGTGGAAGCGTGTTGGTCAGTGATTTGTGGTGGAATGCAGAATGCAAGACCCATGTGCACGTGTAAGGGTCCGAGGCGTTGTTCGGGTGCCTTGCAACCGCTCCAGGATCGAGCTCGGGCCCATTGTGACGTTGAGCTCTTTCGCGGGGCAGTCGCAACAACCCACTAGCCCCAAGCATCCAGCCAGCATTGCCTCGACGCAGCACTGGGAGAGACAGCAAGGCGCATCTAAGACACCTATCGAATCTGCCGCTGCATATTCCTGTGAGTTGCTTTCCGTAATTGATCGACCAAAACCGGGGCCCTCAACTCCAAGTTTCCATAGCTTCTATTGCTTTCCACGCTAGTCCCTCCACATACTGCATTTCTTCCACCTTCAATCTGCTTCGTCAACACAAACACTACACCACAACTACACACCACACTCCCCGTAAAACCACTCCCACGTCCTGTACGACCCTCCGAACTCGATTGGAAACATCAACAGACAACTACCACCCTCAACATGTCCACTGTCACTCCCGAAGGTAAGCTGCAGCCTTGCCCGCTATGCAAGCTCTGAGATGTTATCGGAGCGCACCACATGGCTGCTCGTCCGCTCCCAGCCCTCATTTCCACGTGCGCCTTGCACCGCCTTTCGCGACCGATATATACCATCTTCAGAGCCTGCAACCACTATACTTGACAGATGCTAACGCGCGACAGTCACTTGGGCACAACGCTCATCCGCCGATGACCCGGAGAAGAACTACGTGTACCTCACCATCGTCGCCGCCGATGTACCCGAGTCAGATCTCAAGCTAGACCTCAAGGAGCAGTCACTCAGCTTCAAGGGTACCTCAACATCCAAGAAGTGCACATACGCCATCGACCTCGAGTTCTTCGCCGAGATCGACCCCAAGGAGTCCAAGATAAGCCACAGCGGTCGCGATGTCACAATGGTACTGCGCAAGAAGGAGATGAAGGAGGAGTTCTGGCCCCGCCTGCTCAAGGACACCAAGAAGATGCACTTCCTGAAGACCAACTTCGACAAGGTAGGCTGAGCGATATCGGAACATTCAAGAGCAGTACGCTAACTCATTACAGTGGGTCGACGAGGACGAGCAAGACGAGGCACCCGAGGACGAGTCTATGAACCAGATGAACCCAATGGCCGGCGGTGGCGGTGGCGACGGTGGCTTCGGCGGCATCGACTTCAGCAAGCTCGGCGCTGGCGGCGGTGGTATGCCCGGAATGGAGGGCATGGACATGGCCAGCATGATGCAGGGTATGGGCGGTGCCGGCGGAATGGGAGGCATGCCCGGTATGGGCGGCATGGGCGGAGACGACAGCGACGACGATGACGACGACATGCCCGAACTCGAGAACGACGACGAGAACAAGGCCAGCCAGGACAAGACCCCCGAGGCGGCCGCATCAGGCGACAAGCCCAAGATTGAGGAGGTGGCGTAGTTGCTCCATCTTCTTGCGACAAGCGTATGACTGCACGAGATTGATTGGGTGGGCATGGCGCGCATGACTGGTGACCGGCGTTTCTGCCTCAATCTCTTTGAGGCAAGAGGGGTTGGAGTCTGATACCTTTGACTGAAAGATGGAGAAGAGAGGTTGCATCTATAGGTCGCTTGCGTATTTCCGAGTCCTATCCTAGCGTGCTGGTGCGCAGTGCGGGTTAATGATCACATCATGGAGTATATGACAAAAGAATACGAATCATGTTTCATGACTGGATCTAGGTTGCAAGATACATGGTCATCCGATGCAAAATTCCATCGCATTTATAATCTTTCTCATGTGTATAGTACACGCACCGGCCCGCCTACGAAACCGAACTGTACGGAGGTGAACCTAAGTCTGTCAGCAAAAGCCTGTATATCTCTCCCGGCATTGCTGCACCACACGTCAGCTTCGCAAATCATCAGCTTGACAGACCGGTGAAGCCCTTTGACAGCCATACGCCCTCACAGTCAGACTTGTTAAATATGTTCCATCGGTACTGTAGCCTGAAATATTCAACATGACCGCGCCACATTCAAGCAGCCCTCAGACCGTAAAGCATGACGGATATAATGCCCAGGTGAGCTCCTGTAGTCGCCAGCTTCAAACTCACACACAATTGATATCAAGTTCTTGTTTTGACAGCATCCAGCCAAGAGTAACACTTCCAACAACCGCGTCTTTACGTCGGTACATCAAGCAAGATGATGTTCAAATTAGCATACATACTCACCCTTCTGAGTCCCTTCAGCCGTGCCGAGATACTAGAAAATCCATCCCCTAGAGATCTCGATATCCTTGTCCCTATCCCCGACCCCCTTCCAACAACGCCATTCCCCATGCGTAAGCAGCGAGAATCGTCCAAAAAACTATCCCAAGGTCTAATCACATGCCAGCTCCACAAGACAGCTACACCTGCCAGCGTAACCACACCCGGAACAGACACCCCCAAGCAAAGCCAACTAACACAAATCGCAGGACTGTTTGGTCAACAACACCAAGAAGACGACCAGCCCCCGCCGGAAGTATACCAGCGCCACCGCGTTCGTGTCAAACTCCAGGGACCGCTGAAATGGCGAGCAGATATGGCGGGGCATTTTTACCGGCAGGTTTATGATGATTCTGGTATGTGTCTTTCCGATCTTGATAAATATGGGTTTACAGCTAACGATAGGGGTGTTAGCCCATGAATGGTATATACAGTGGTGGAGCTATAACCAGGGGCGAGCATATCGTGTTTTGACAGATGTTCATGGTGGGTTTGCTCCCCTTGTCACAATAACATGGCTGTTAGTGTATTGACATGATGATCCAGGTCGTAACTACACTGCATGGATCTAGTCCATCATCCGGTCTGTTCTACGAGTCTGAGACCCATCTCTTCAACGCACTCAACCTACTCAATTCCAACATGATCTACTTCCCCCCCTGATTAAAATTCATACTATACCCCCCACTCTTCTCATCCTTCGTAAACTGAAAATTCTCCGTACTCAATCCAAACGGCTTGAGAATCCCATTGCCCAACTGCTTCAACTTGCCCATCATATCCGCCATCTCCGTATTCTTCGCTTCATCCAACTCCGCCGGTAACTTCCGCAATGCGGCTTGAACGGCCTTTTGATCGAGGCTCGAGAGCTGGTGGGGCGGTTTGGAAAGGGCTTGGTAGTCTTCTAGGGAGCCTTGGAGCGAGGCCCAGCCACCGACTTCATGTCGGGCTTTTGCGCGGCGGAGCAGGGCTTTTGTGCGGAGTTTGTGGACGTCGTTTATGGTGTGATTTGTCCGCGTGAGAGCGTCGAGGTAGAGTTCGGTTGTGTCGTCGATTTCGGCGATTGCGCCGCCGCCGGTTGTTGCGTTCGCGCCATCGTTTTCTGGCTCTTTTTGCGCTGGTGGGTCTATCCGGTCTAGTGCTTCAAGTGCTTGGGTCGCAGATTCGACGGCTTGCTTCCATTCTGAGAGCTTGAGGTGGCAGGCTGCGATGTTGGAGCGGAGGACGGCGATGTCGTATTCGAGGTATGAGGGACAAACTGCTAGGGCTTTTTCGTAGCCTTGTATCGCGCCGTTGTATTCTCCGGATGTAAAGGTTTTGTTCGCTGAAGCTTTCTCCGTGTTGGATTCGTCGAGTAGCTTTTTCTCCTCGTCTGGGGGGAAGATCTCAGGTGTTGAGGTTTCGATTGCAGATGCTTCTGCTTTCGTCGCTGTTTCTTCCTGCGATGCCATTCTAGCTTAATTCTAAAGTGGGACTGACGCGTAAATTGTGTATAGGGTATGCGGGTGTGTTTGGAGAAAAGGTCGATCTGTTTTCGAAGTGACGTCTGTGGTCGGGGGTCCGACTAGCGTGCCTCGGCCACGTGGGGTAAACATTCACCTAACCCCAACTTTCGACAAGCCTCAATTGAACCTGCATAACACCTTGAAACAGCCAATCCGTCGACTAGGACCTCTCTAGATACATCAAAGATGAGCTCTACGTAAGCAACATCCTCGAGATTGAACTCATCCCTACTAACCGCCCTCAGTACAACCCCACCACCCCGCATCCGAGCAGCGCTCTTCGACATGGACGGTAAGCCACCCATCACTTGTCCCCTCACCACCACTAATAACCTCACCAGGCCTCCTCATCGACTCCGAAGACCTCTACAGCATAGTAACCAACACAATCCTCGAACGCTACGGCCGCCCACCCCTCCCCTGGTCCGTAAAAGCACAACTGCAAGGACGTCCTGGACCTCAAGCAGGCAAAATCTTCCACAACTGGGCACAACTCCCCATCTCACATGAGCAATTCCTGGTCGAGCAAAAAGAACTCCAGAAAGATATCTTTTCGACCACGAAGCCACTACCAGGTGTTATGGACCTACTTGCAGGGCTGAAGTCCAGGGGCGTACACATGGCGCTCGCAACAAGCAGTAACAAGAACAACTTTGAGATCAAGAGCAAGCACCTAGGCGACCTATTCGACCACTTCAAGAAGGAACATCAAGTCCTAGGCGACGACCCAAGAATACCTTCTGGCCGCGGTAAACCCGCGCCGGACATCTACCTCCTCGCCCTCTCCACGCTCAACAAGACCCTCGAAGCAGAGGGTCAACCACCCATCCAACCAGAAGAATGTCTCGTCTTTGAAGACAGCGTGCCGGGCGTTGAGTCGGGCAGGAGAGCGGGTATGCAGGTTGTGTGGTGTCCGCATCCGGAGTTGCTGGTTGAGTATAAGGGGAGGGAGAAGGAGGTGCTGGCGGGGTTGACGGGGGAACACAAGGAGGATGAGGAGAAGCAGTTGCAGAAGAGTGAGGTGGAGGTGATGCAGGGGAAGAGGAAGGTCGGTATGCCAGGGGAGATTGATGATGGGTGGGGGAGGTTGCATAAGAGTTTGGAGGATTTCCCGTATGATAGTTATGGGATGGGTGGGAAGGCGTGAGGTATAGAGTTGGGATTCTGGTTTGCTAAATGCTGGATTTCTAGCTTATGGAAAATGCGAACTCCAGCGGCTGATGGGCTAGACCCATGCACTGTAATTACGACCTATTGATCCAAGTCATCATACTGTCTAGGCTTCTGATCGAACAGGAGGGCTACTAACCATGCTCGTCTTTCAAGGTGCGGTATGCGCGGTTCTCGTTGTAGTCCCACCACACTGTGTGCCACTGCTGAGCTAGTTTCGTTACATTAGCTACCGACAAGTTCCGTTGAGGCTGAGAACGCATACCGTCGTTGTCATAGCGTTGTTTGTAGTGGTAACCCGCTTGGTCCCATTGCCAATTTGGACCCTGTTGGGGTTGGGGGGATTGCTGCTGGTGATTCAGTTGTGGTTGTTGATAGAATTGCTGCTGATGGGTTGATTGAAGTAGTTGATGGCTCGATTGCATTGGAAAGTATACTTGCAGCGAGTGAGATATCTGCGATGATTGCTGCGCCTGAGGTGCTTGGTTCCCTTGCAGTGCTGGATTTACTTGCTGCCGCCGACCCATTATCTCTGCTATCTGCATAAGCTCGGCCTGCTGGGTTTTCTTCCTGTCGCGCTCGCGCTGCTCATTATACCTCACTCGATTCCCTGATTATGTCAGATAAACTACTCACAGATCGCGGAGACTTACCCCCGGTCCATGGGCGAGCCAAGCCGGGATTTCCATGTGGAGGACAGTCTTCCCATTCAACTGCAGGGGTTGCCATTGAGTTTAGTTGTATAAAGAAGTTAAGAGATGATGTGTGATGGTCCCTGAGGTGAGTGTACCCAAGATGTTCAGCAAAAACCACCCGTCAGTCGTTCTATCTGGCTTGCTTAGTGCTACTTAGGTGCGCATCGGGAGAAGAAAACTATAGGTGCAACTAGTATTGTTCAGATATCTCACAGCCCCAGGAGAGTATGCGGGCAGAAATATCAACGGCACAAAGCAGCTGGAGTAGGAGTCAGCCTGACACGGCATCAGGCTGGAGAAGACCACCACTAGTGTGCTAAGCTGGCTGACAGCGCGGCTGACTGCAGGCCACAAGGCTGGATTCTGTCATCACAGTTCAGGAAGGCGGGGTTAATCAATTCAGTCCCTCTGGAGGACTTCTACCTGCTTCATCTGACCGTTTGCGATGACCACGACGTTACTGGAGCGAATTCAGAATGGCTACCCCGGACTCGCGAAATTTATGGGACAGAATCTGGACCAGGGGCTGGGAATCTTCAAGCAATTTGCCGAACTCAACACTCGCAGCCTGCTTTACATGCAGGCTGAGCTTCTCTGCTTGCAGCAAGAGCTCGATGTTATCACGTATGTTGATGAGCATGGAACCGATCCCACTACAAAGAACTTTGCCAGAAGTGTGTGGGAGATGAAGAAGCCTCCTAATAGACCTCAATGGGACAAGGTACTTGAGATTAGAAGCAAGCTAAAGGACTACAGTATGACACTATTACCTAGGTACGCTACGCGTTGTCAGACGAAGTACTAACACCTCCGAAGATGACTGTCTGCTCCAACAAGCCGATATGGCAAAACTAGATCGCGCGAACAAGAACGATCAGAAGTGGCTGAGAGTCTGGTTGCAGCACCGAAAAGGCGGCAAAAGCTTTCTCGAAGGCTGCGAATATCGAGCATACGACGAGATGGAGCACCCAGATCTAATCTCCATCTCCAGTAGGCCTTCCAACGATAGGTTCACGCGATGGCTAGAGATGAGCCTGGTACCTCATTTTCCTACTCCCCTACGGACATCGGTTCTAGTAAGTACCAATTCCACTCACATCTCCACTGCGCTCACCGTCTCGAACCAGGAGCCGATGGCGGGATCAGAAGAGACGGGAATAGGCCGCGTCAAGCTAGAAGTTCTCCACCGATTCGCTCGAGTACTGAACGTGGTACTTTCTGCAATCATCCCGTCGACCGCCATCGTCGCACTGTATTTGATCAACAATCTTCCATACAGAATCGCGGCTGTCGCAGCCTTCTCGGGAGTGTTCGCATCTGTCTTGGCTATCTTCACGACGGCACGTCCGGTCGAGATATTTGCAGCCACCGCAGCGTGAGTTTTCCGTTGTTGGATGTAGACGGTTTCGCTAATAGACTCAGGTTCACTTCCGTACAAGTCGTTTTCGTGGGCGGAACTACTGGCGATGGCGGGCAGTGCCAGTGCAGCCCGTAATATTCGATACGCGACAAAAGATTCCAGCTCTTTATGTTCCAGCCGTGCATTGATTTGTATATAATCACTTTAAATGGGAGGATTTGCTTTTTCCCCTTCATCTAGCTGAACATGGGTACACATTGGGTTTTCTAGAAGGGTGCTCGACAGGCCTGTCAAGACATCGCTATCCTTGCAGGGCAGCATTAGCTCCCGTTGTCTAACCACTAGTCAGGTCCCCTTTCTCAATGTCGCTGCACCATGCTCGTCGCATCAAAGGACACATTTTGAACATGCTATGGTTTTATAGGACGCGTGTGGTAGCCGGGAGATATCCATGGTTGGAGTTGGAATGTCCGGCAGCTTCTTCGGCGGGGTATCAGGATCTGTCGTCCAGTCGTTACCAGCTGCCAATGACGCATCCAGACATGACGTGCCGTTATACGATTGGCTGCGAGGGTTAGTCCCGGCAATGAGGCACCCATGTCATGTCGAAATGTCGTGTTATTAGCAGTGACGGAGACGCGTCGTAGCACCAGGCGGAGGCGTAAGAAGACTGCAGATTATCTCAGATGTGAGACGTAATAGTAAAGGCGACATTGATCTCCAGCGAACGAGTTGTTGGAGGGTCGGGTATTTGATGCATGTCGTTGCTGCAGCTCTTTCATGTGGCCTCGGCGGAAAGGCCCCTGACGCCAACTGGCAGAGGGCGCTAGCAGCGTGCATGGCTGACATTAGCCTCGCCTGCTCTCCTGTCCGTGTCCACATTTTGTCGACGACACTGGCACGCCTCCGACTGCCTCTCTTCCTGCTTCATCCGCTGTTGCTGCTGCCTCGGGATGTTCGCTCGTCCTGTCGTCTCCAGAATCGTGCATCTATCCCACCCTATGTCGCTCTTTTAGCCACCAAGCCCAGCCTTTCCTTGATATATTACCTTGTAATCCTACTGCAGACCCGGCGCGAAACTCTCTACGCGCGTTTCTTTGCCCGAGCACTGACTGCAGCGTCGTCGGAACATTTGTCGCCTGTTTGACGCGCGCAGCATCCGAGACGGAAAAACAAGAGTTGCAGCTCGTCGAGTTGTGCTGTAGCGGGAAACCCTTGGATGCACGCTCGACGGTCCACCTCGTCCTCGCAGCCGCCGCCCTCATCGCCTCCATTTGCTCCCGGGCACTTTGGTGAAGCTTCGACTCCGCCCGAGGCGCGTGAAGCAGTCTCTCCCACCTGGACGGCCCCCTCGCCGGCTCGCACCCTAGCCAACTCGAGCCCAGAGCTCCCTACGCTCCCGTCCTTCTCCATACTGGGCAACAACCCGCGCACCCCGTCCAACGCTGCGAGACACGACCGAACCGACACTTCTTACTACACGGCCAGCTGGGGCAGTCCGTACAGACACCCGCCGCCCGTTTTTAATCCGTCGCGTCAGGTCTCGACAAATTTCGGCAGCGACGACTTTGAAGAGGAAAATTCCGGACTCACATTCGGCCTCGGACATCTGCTTCCATCCCGGCTAGATCTGCAGGAAGAGTCGCCGAACCAGTTCAACCTCGAGCATCTTATCCCGCGTCTAGAACGGAACGCCTCGCCGAACCAGTTCACGCTCGAACATCTAATCCGCTCTCGACTGCCAAATCTAGTGACTCCCACCAAAGGACCGCGAGCGTCCGGTACTACTCCCCGCGCGTCCGACACGAACCCGACTTCGCAAGAGTGGGTTGAGCGATTCTTGGAAGAGCGTTGGAACCGCGAGACAAACGACTGGCGGAGTAACAACAGCGATACAGAGGGATCAGGTGGAGAACCGGATATACCACTTGCGCCTCCGCCGAAAAGAGGACACAAGCAGAGGAACAACAACAAGACTCTGAACCAGCAGGACTTTTGGCGCCACTTTAGTAAGGACCAGAAGGAAGCACTCGGCAAGATGATGGCCTCAAAGTACGCGGATCCTGAGCTGGTGACGGCCAGGCAAAACTCCACATCAGGTCCCAGCACGAACGGACACAGTGCGCAGGCTGAGAAGACGCCGGTACCGACTCCTTCAAAAACAGCTAAGCCGGCAGATGAAACTCCCAGCAAGCAGTCGAACAAGGACGCCTCCAAAGTAAACCAGGAGTTGTCGAACAAGCCACTTCCCGACACCCCAAGCAAGTCGTTCTTGGCTCCTCCAGGTGCAGCACCTGCGCAACCTCGGATGCGAAAGAAGGTCATTGTCAAGGGCAAGGGCTGCATCATCTCGATACCGCGAGACATTCCCAGGGGCAACCCAGGGTTCCCTCCGAAGCCGATGACTGCAGAGGCTGTTAACAACAAGCTCCGACAGCTCGAGCAGCAGGGCTACGACACTCGTGGCTTCAGTACTGGAGGCTTAGAGACACATAACCGTGCCATCTGGCCCGCTGAGGAGGATGTCAAGGCAGAACGCGCCAACTCCAACAAGCAGTACAAGGTCCGCGTCTCGAAGGAATCAGAGTGGAAGGACTACGAGAACTCTCTGCTTGAAGCTAAACTAGCTGCACTTGGTGTCAGCATCGGTGGCGAGGAAGATATCCCTCTTCCCATGTCGCGAACAGCGTCATCACAGCAACATCCAGGGCAAGGGTTCACTCCCCCGATCCCGACCTCCTCAGCTGGCAGTCTTCGCATGGCCAGGCAAGGCAGCATCGCCGGCTTTCCATTCGGACCCTCGCCTGGGCACATGTCTCGACAATCGATCGCGTCTCCGGCTGCTTTTGGAAACCAGCGTCCCAGCATGCACATGCATCGCCATTCAACTTTTGGGTCGCCTGCAAACTTTGCTCAGCACGGTTACTCACCTTCGGGTACTTGGTCGCCTGCTGGATACTTCAACTCTCAAGATGGACGCAGTGGCTCTCCTGCTCTTGCTCTGAGCAGGCCTGATCTTTCCGGAATGATCTCGCCACATTCTCCATTCGGCATGAGACCCGGCCAGCAGTTTCCCATTACGCCGACGCAGAGGGATGACTTCCAGCTGCAGATGCAACTGCAACAGCAGCAGCTACAGAACCAGCTTCTTCAGCAGCAACAGCAACAAGTCCTTGGCTTGCGCCCGTCCTCCACTCTGGCCGAAGTACCCGAAGATGAAGACGAGGAGGATGAGGTTCCGGCTATGAAGCATGCCACTCAACCTGCACCGGAGATTGCTGTACCGCGTCCTCGCAGTCATCGCCATAACCTTAGTGAGAACCTTGAACGCGAGGCGGCGAACGAAGAGTATCACTTGGAAGAAGCCATCGACAAGCAGTTTGCGGAAGGAGGTGATTTCAGTACGGAGCCAGAGACTAACGTATCCTACAAGCCTTCCAATGCTGTGGCTAACCCTACGTGGGAGGACTCGCGAACGATCTTGCACCAACCTCAACCGCACAGCAAGTCGCATTCGCTCACCAAGTCTCAGAAGCCTGTCTCCTTCTCGTTCCCGGCGCAGCAAAACCCTCGCTCCGACAGCGACGGTGCGAAGACCAACATCTCAGAGAACACAAACCCCAGCTTGGAGGATGGAGAGGTTCGCAACCCTACACAGAGCTCTGCGCAGCACTCCCAAGCACCATCCCAGGTCAGCAACTCATGGAAGGACAACAAGTTCGCATTCAGCAAGCCTGCATCGGCGATGCACAGCAAGCACGCTTCGCGTTCCTCCATCTCGAAGCTCAATGTTGAGGCTAAGGAGTTCAAGTTCAACCCTGCAGCGTCTTTCCAGCCAGGATCCTTCTCCTCGGGCTTTAGCTTTGCACCCGCAGTTAAGCCACCTACAGCTGCTGCTCCTGCTGCTGTCCCAGCCAACAACAAGCCCAGCATTGATGCATTGGCCAACTTCAACGTGTCGGCTCCTGCCTTTAAGCCGGATGCACCCGTGTTCAAGCCTGATGCTCCAGCCTTCAAGCCTGTGGCTGAAGCTCCTGTGTTCAAGCCTGCGGCAGACAGCTCTCCATTCCCGTCCGGTGGCTTCAACTTCTCCAGCCCGCCAGCCTTCAAGCCAGATGCGCCCGCGTTCAACCCTGGCGTGTCTACCTTCAACCCTAACAAGCCGGCTCCTGCTCCAACAAGCTTTTCCTCGAAGATCTTCGGAGATGTCAACCTATCTCAAAGCGACATCATCAAGCCCGCCACACGCTCGAAGGCCGTGCCTATCATCCGTCCGGACAACACGCGCTCGCAGACTCCCGAGACTGAAGGCCGTGAGGACCACGAGGATGAGTCTGGCCGACCCAAGCAAGCCGACGGCCGCGAAAAGCGAGCTCGCCGTGACCGCGCTGATGGTGACGATGTCCCCAAGTTTGCACTCCAGCCCGTGCTTGCATCGCAGCCTTTGGCAGAAGTCAGACAGCCCAACGCTAGCAAGCAAGAGCCTCAAGTCGAAAGGGAGGCCGTCGCAGAAGACAAGGAGAACCTGTCGCCCGTACGTGAGCAGGTCAAGGCCAAGTCGAAGAGCCCCGAGCCTCTGTCGCAGCCAACGGAAGAGGTCATCATGGAGCCTATCTCGCCTGCACCAGAGAGCGATCTAGGTGCAGACGACGATACACCTCACGCGAGCGATGTACCTACGCCGACTACCGAGGAGCCCGAGCCACTGGGCAACAAGCACTCTCACAAGAGCACGCTTTCTGCCAACGCCAAGCCCTTCGAGTTCCGACCGCAGTTCAACAGTGCTGGCTACGACTTCGGCTTCCACGTTACGAAGCCGTCTCAGGTTGAAGATCCCGAGAAGTCTCAAGTGTCTCCACCGAGATACGCAAGCAGAAGCCCAGCAACTACGTACAGGCCTAGCGACGACGGCTCGTTCAAGACTGCTATGGAATCTGGCAGGCACAAAGGCTACCCTGAAAGCGAAAGTGCTGATTTCGACCAACTTGGTGATGCTTCCTTTAACGACATTGATGCTGT